TTAAATCTATAACTATAAGACAGTTTAATCATATCTAGCAATAAATATGATTTTTGCTGCAATTAGTTCATGGCAATGAACTTTAGTCATTACTCACTTTGGAGTAGAATAGGAGCATATTCGCCTATTTTATTCTCGAGCGTTTTTCAAAGATCGTCAAACTAGCACATTTTTAATATTATTTAACCATTAATCACTTATAACTTCCATGCTTCCTTGTTTATTGTTATTACTATGATACTGGTAGTAGTTTAAAACACTGTTTGTCATAAACCAGCTTCGTGACAAAGATAACGTAAAACAAATCTCTAAATTACTATAGCCTCCGGGATTCAGTATCCCTTAACTACCTCACAAGAATTTAGACGTCTTTGATTCTACGTTAAAACAACTATACAATTGAGAACTGCTTTATTCAACTATCTGACGGGCTTATATACCCTTCTACAACAGCTAACATTCACGAGTCATCTTATAAAAATACTTAGGTGAGAACGTCTACTAACTAATTTTTCACAGTCGGACTACAATATGTTCATTCACAGAATCATTTCAGTACACAGTACAGCACAGCATTAAATTTACTGTAACACATTTATAATTAGAGTAATTCCTACTGTAAGTAACTAGTTGTAATATATTATCACTATATTACATTAACCAAATTTAGATGGCTATTTCTTCACGGTAGTTCGTACCGTGACACTCTTCCATCGATCTATTCAACAAGCAACTTTAAAAAGGTTGAGTTTACCGAAATTCTGTCCGATAACATAAGTAGCAGAATTAGGAGATTCAGCTTAAATCTATGAGAAAAAACACAGTTTAGGTAAATTAAAGACTAACAATAATTTTCCTATAATTATTTCATATCCATAGCTTTTAGTCATTGCATATTATGGAGTAGGATAGGAACGTATTTGAAAATATCATTCTCCAATATTTACCAAAAAAATTTAAACTAGCCCTTTCATGGTTTTTTTAAGTCTTGATTCAGTTATGATTTCAATGTTTGCTCGTTTATGGCTATTATTATGATCGTAATTTAAAAGTATTATACCCTATACATATTCAGTAAGTAACTTTAAAAAAGCTGAGTGATATCTTTCAATTCTTAACGAATGAAAATATATTATTTAAAATTTGTGATAGGCTTGCGAAACTGGAGATCTAGCAACCTTACAAAATATTATTGACGACAATTATGAAAAATGTGAAACCTACACAACGGAAATGATCAATTCCGCCGATGAAAATCTTTTGACTCCTTTACACTATGCCAGTATCAATAATCAAGTGGAAGTGATTACTTACTTGCTATCAAAAGGCGCAGGTATACGTTGATCATAGAATAAGCAGCATAAGTATTTGCGTCGACATAAGATACAAATTCCAATTACCTAATTAAACTTTCTGGCCGTAAATTAAACTAAGTTCTACTTTATTCATCCAATACCATTCAAAAAGAAATCGATGCTGTTGGTGGTAAATTAAATAGAACACCGTTGATGATGGCGATCCATCTCAATCATTACCAGGCTGTGTGTACATTACTAGATCATGAACCCGATGTTTGTGTAAAAGATAATCATTTCCAACAGATATTGCACATCGTAGCACAGCAGGGTAATGTTGAAACAGCAAAGGTTTGTTGCTATGCAACTTATAGTAATATGCCAACTTCAGTTTTAAAGTCCTACAACATTTCCAGTGATAAGTGTTTGAATTGATTGCGTTCTGTATCAGTCACGTTCTTTTCACAAATATCCTTAATTTTTTAAATAAGCGATGTGGAAAATGAAGTAACATTATTTTATCTCTGTAATCGAATTATAGCTCCTACTTCAATATTTAAAGGAATTGGCTATACAAGCATCATTCCTAGATGATGTAGATAATGAAAACATGACAGCTTTACATTATGCCTCAGACAAGTGTCATTATAATATCTGTACGCTACTAGTAAGTCGAGAGGAAAGATTGGATATAAATGAGCCATAGAGTGATTTTTAATTATAATTTAATGAAATTGGCGATCATCAATCTTATCTAGATTGAGCATGGATGCCAGCTTTCTTTGGCTGCGTTAGATGGATCTACGGCACTTCATTTAGCTGCATATCGGCAAGATGTGCGATTAGTACATCTATTCCTAAGTAAAGGTGATTTATATCTTAATAGTTTGTCTGACACTTTGATAAATTTTTATAAAATCAATTGCTTAATTTTAAAACTAATTCCAAATTTTTCAATAGCAAATAAGCGAGGAAAATCATCACTAATTAACTGCCAGGATAAAGATGGTAAAACAATATTGCAAATTGCAGTAGAAATGAACAACTATGAGGTATTTTTAATGCAAATGTGACTGTTGTTCTTTACTATCACAGCTAAATATAAGTGCTTTACTTAGTTTATAAAATATTGATCCAACTAAAGACCTAAAAATATTTATAAATTAGTATATGAAATCATTCTACAAAATTATAGATTGCTAAATTGTGCCTGAGCTATAACGCCGATCCAAACTTTCGCAATAGTGATGATTTCCAAACTTCCGATTTGGTATTAAATCGTTCTGATTTCTAAGTTAATCAAGTCCCCTACTTTCATCAACAAGTGCATCCCTATCTAATCAATCTTTACAAATTCAATATCAATTGCATAGAATACAGTAAGATCAGTCCTACATGTAGCCGCCATTAATGGGCAAATTGACTTGGTAGAACTACTTCTGCAGCATAAAATGCCCATAGACACCGTTGATAGCACAGGAAGAACAGCAATGCATGGAGCTGTTATAGGCAAGAATGTCGAAATGATTGACTTTCTTCATGCAAAGGTATTTATAAGATAGTGTAAAAGAACTCTATTGATGCCATTATTCAGCAACCATCTTTTGCAATCTCTCAATAATTAGTGTAATTTACCAATAAATTGTATTGCTTCAGATGAGTTTATAGTGTTGAGGGAATTCATTAATTTTACAGGACAATAAGTATGGTTTAATAGTGTCATCGAAGTGCATTGAATTAGAATTTATTTTAACTTTAACGTAGATACGAGTTGTTCTCCATAGCACATTAAAAGGTATGACATTATTGATTTAGTAGAGCGCCTACTGAGGCCACTGAAAGCAATATATACAAGCGAATGCTAGTACATATTACAAATAATTAATTAAACAATCTTTGCTAATCTGTTTAGTTACTCTATTCATTAAAGAGCTTATTTTTACTTAACTGATTTATCTTATTTGTTCTTAAAAAATCAATCGTCATTATTAGGGTCTTTACCTAGATTCGATATGCCAGCATGGTCTTACTCCATTGCTAACTGCAGTTAAGAAAGGATTCGCTGACATAACTAATAAACTATTAGAGCTTGGAGCAAATATTAAAGTTCTAGATAAGAATCAACAAACTTGTCTACACTATGCTATTCAGCATGAGGATTCTTCTATATTACAACTCTTACTAAAGGTGGGTAATTCTTCGCTCCATTAAAATGGATAATCCTGCATAAATAGGCAGCACTAGATTCTAACCACCCTTCAACATCTACATACTACGTACTCGTATATTTCATTTTAGAATGGTGCTAAGCAATTAATCAATTGTCACGATGATGAAGGAAATACCCCATTATTGACATCTGTTCACAGCAAGAATAGCAGGGTAGGCAAATTACCTTCTTTTACGATAGAATTCCAGCAGTATCAGCTATTACTATTCAGAATTTTCATTCGGAATAGCAATCTTAGAGCGATATAGCTTACTTGCAGTACAACAGTTCTTGATCAACGTCTTACCTTCTTGAAAATAGGCAATTGAAATCCTATTAAATAATGGGGCTAATTTAGCGATTGTTAACAATAATGGCGATGGATATCTGCACATCGCTGCTGCTAGAAATTTCCATAATCTCATCAAAACCTACTGTAATATTGGTAGCATTAACGTTAACGTTAAAAACAAAATTGCCAAAACGCCGCTCCATATTACTGCTGGTCTTGGCCATTTGAAAACCCTGCAGACTTTGCTTGATCTTGGAGCAGATGTTAATAACTGGTTAGTCTTCTTCTATCTAAATTAATTAATGAGAATAGTATTAGATGTCCATCAGAATCGGTAGCACATATTTAAAATCGTCTTCTTTCCGATATATCCAAATGCAGAAATTGAATAAAAATGATATAAAGCAGCTAATTTTGAACAACTATTATTTTAGTGATATTTTAGGAAATACCCCTCTGCATGAAGCCGCCAAAGCTAACCAAACCGAAATCGTTAAAATTTTGCTAAAGCAAGGCAGCTATGTCAATACAACCAATAGAAAAAGGGTATGTTAACTGCAATAGACTTTCCATTAGCTTTACTTAGGTAATCACTTTCTTATTCAATTCAATCTTATTGAACAGGAAACGCCTATTCATTTAGCTTGTGCTGAAAATGCAATCCAAGTAGTCCAGATTTTATTAGCAGCAAATGCTGATATATCTATCAAAAATTTAAGAAGCCAAACTTGCTTTAATACAGCAGTGGAAAATAATTGCAAAGAAGTAGCATTCCTATTGATCGAAGACAAGAGGTAAAAATTTTTTTAAAGTTACTGCTAATAGGCTCCACTGTAATAAATCGAAAACTATACCCTAATAAAATATACTAGCAAAACCCATGGAAATCTCACAGATTATATTATAATTTTAAGTTAATAGAATAATCTCATTATTATGATTTGATAATTGAGTTGATTCTAATGACAGTGGACAGTTCCAATTTTTAACGATTTACGCATCGATTCGCGTATATCTAGAATTATTTCCACCACACTCGATTTTACTAGGGTAGCTTCAATTTCGATTTTCGCTATGCTTGATATAAGAAACACTATAAAAATGATATTTTTCTTAACTAACCTCAAACTCTTCAATGCATTGAACAAATATTCATTCAAAGTGAACCCATAACTAAACGTAATATTTCAGATGGCAAACAGTGATGGATTGCCGCGGTGAAGATGGATATACACCCATGAAACAGCTAATAGAAAAGATGCCCGTAGTTGCTGAGGTAATGGAAGCAGGATAAATCTAAACACAGCAATTACAATTACTCGAATTCAGATATAGTTATGGTATATCGGTGGTCTAGGATAGCCAATAGAAATCGAATTCAACCTCTCTTTTCAAGTATAATTTCTAAGGATGCAAACAGTTTCACTAAAATATAGTCATAATTGGTCTTAAATGTTAGCATTTGGACTATTAAGTAATGCATGGATCTAATATATACTCTATAATTCTCCCAGTTTGCACGTTCAACCTACTTGACATAAATTCTATTTTTACATCCTTTCCGTCTAGTACAACAGTTTCGTTCTACTATTAAAAATTAATCTATCTTGAATGTTAATATTTTACTTTTAGTTTACGTCAAGATAAAATTTATTTTTATAATTTTTATATAGCACAACAGTCTCCTTCTACTATTAAAGATCAATCGGTCCTGAATATTAACATTTAGACTAATAAATAATGCACACATGCATTATATAGTCTACAATTTTTCAAGTTACCTCTAATTTACTTGACACCAAATCTATTTTACAATCTGTGGCCTAGTACAACAGCTTCATCCTGCTATTGCACTAACTCTTAATCGAAGCGGTAACAATATTTGGAATCTACTTATACGTATCATTTTTTAACTAGGCTGTTCTGGATCGATGTGTAATTTTATCAAATCATCCAAGAAATCATCCAGATTCCTTTGTAAGCTAACCTACCTACTGTAAATAGGTTTATACTAATATCTAATAATTTTCTTTTAGCCATTGAGATAACTGTTATGATACGAGGCTCCAATTATTATGCATCTTGATTAAAGCAAAAAATAAAATTGGCATGGAAATTGATATGTTGTATTATTTTTTAATCTACTCCAGGTTACTTTTAATTATAAATACATTGAATCGCCACCCCAAGAGACACAATTGCGAGAAGTTAAAGATTGCTACTTGTCCATTTCGGTAGGTTAATATAACCTATTCGTCAAATTTAATTTAGTATTCAAGAGATCGGCCACAGCATCACCTAATTTTAATTGATTATTGGATCAATAAATAAATGATGTCCAGCCTTAAATGATATTTTGACTAAGCAAACAACAAAATATCACTGTAAAGTTTAAGCCAATAGAGTAATGCTAATTGCATCCATTTTTTATACTCTTTAGAGTATGGTTGAATATAATCGTGAAAAATTATTTACTCATCCCTTAATCATGGCTTATCAGCGACATAAATGGTTCGTTACAATTAAACTGCATTTTAAATTACTGACACTATCCAGCAGACTATATAATATACCTAATCATCATATATAGCCATCGCTAGTTTACTTGAATAGTTTTATTTCCTCTAATGGTCAAGATACCGTAGCTACTTTATTAAATCTATGCCTATTCAGCAAATAATCTACCATTTATCTATAGTCTATTTCCCAGTATTGATTCAGGCAGAAATACTAAAATCATCTTGCTATTCTTAATCAAAGGAACAGCGGGCTAGGATTACGATTTTATATGGAATTAGTTAGCTACTTTATCATCGTTTCATTGTTTTCTATCGTTATGGGACTTGATCTAATCTGCAATACAAATAATAACGCAACTTATGTCAATAATTCATACTTGGTAAGAAATTAGAGAGAATAGTAATTATATTACCGAGTATTATATAACTTATATAGAGATAATGTCAAAACTATCTAGAGACAATATTCTCGTGACCAACCATTGCATTTGTGCTATTTAATTTAATCGCATCAGAGTTTCCAAATTAAAATGTTCAAAATTTTAAAATACTTCATCTTTTTGTTGATAGGATTGCAGAACTGTCCCGCAATCTGTAATCAGCAGCTCACCAGTGGTTATTGTAGTTCTTGGTTCCTTAGTTTTCATTGGTCATTTAATTGCTTTTTTGGCTCGTGTAAGCTATAAAATTCATCCTGATTTATATCTGCGAAAAGAATAGTATCTCTACTAAAGATTAATTTTTCAGCCGTTTCACTGTAGCTGTACTTCTATCTTCAATGAACATTTTTTTATCAAATTAAGTTTCTCCGTTACTACTTTAAAATTGTTATAGCCATACGAACGTATTAAAAATTTCTCCATCAACTTTATGGAAATGTTCATTGGGCTATTCTCCGTTGTTTTTGGCATACTAGCTATGGTTTACGGAAGCAATGTCATTAATTCGCAGCTAGGCGCTGTGCTAGTTTTTTTGGCATTAATGGTTATTGTCGTTAGTTTGCAGAGGTAGACAGTCCTATGAGTTGTAAATGCTAAAATTAAATATGTATAGCACTTGTAACATGTATTTGAAGACTAAAGTGAAATATATGTTGATATTACCTATTGACGATTACATTCTGCGTTCTAGAGCCGATTTTTTAGGTCAATATATTGTCATGTTCATAGCGGTGCTGAAAACTGTGCTCAAGGTCATGATTTTGGTCATGATTATTTTAATAATATTCGGTATTTCCTTCCAACTTGCCTTCAACGCAACAAATGTTAGTCATATCCATAACTTCTAAGCAAATTTCTGTATTATTTATAATTTACATGATTGCAATACAACATAAATTAAGTCGATAAACGTAGACAGATATTGAGTTTAATTCCGGTATGCGAGCTATCTCTAGGATAGTATTTGATACTGATCATATGGATAGCATAAGTTAAACCTAGGTAATTCTATATGCTTTTGGGAACCTTTTCAAATGTGATCTTAATATAAGTTTTACTAGTTTCTAGCCAAATTTATAAACTTTATCCGTTGTCATTACTCTAGCTAGTATTGCTCTAATAATTAATGTCGTGATCGCCTCATATCAGGCAATCCTATCTATACCGTAGTCTGTTTTTGTTATAATAAGCAACGTGAATGCAATCCACGTGCTTTAAAAATTTTCCTTATCAAGAGTTTACAATCAGAATGGGCTAAAGCATAAAATTTTACATAGCTATGGCCGTTTATTTAATATAGTGTGTAATTACAGTATGTGTCTGCATTAACATCACGGTATACTATGTCATTGACATAATTGCAATTCCATTCATTCTTACTAATAACATAGCATAACCTAGATCTTTGAAGTTTAAAACAATTTATATTATCAATCTACAAGATTGCTCCATTTAATGAAATTGTCACGGATTTCCTTGGCCTATTTGTCATGTTTACTGGAGAAATTAGTTTTTACGAAATATTCGCTCCAAAACTGCGTGGTTTACCAGCTGCACACCTGTTAGCACTAAGCTTTCTCCTGATAGCTTTTGTAGTCCTTCTAAATGTCACATTGGTAAATTTATTGGTTAGTAAAGTCCTGCTTGCAATATTGAATTGGCACGATTTATATCAGCATATGTAGCAACTTGCGAATCGATTTATAATCTAAACTTTGCAAGACTAATTTCAGTAACACGTTAAGTACTGCCAGTAAAAAATCAATAATCTTAGAGTGCACCTATTATCCATTAAATTATATAGCCTTTATCAAATTTGCTATCTATATGTCTATAAATAAGCAAGAAGCTTCTGCAAATGTTACTAATGCTAGCATTTAATACAAATCAGCGTGCTATTCCGTCTAATAACGTTAAAATTCTACTTGTAAAAATTTTACTATACTAAAATATATCCGTTGTCTATTAATTGCATAGCCTTTATTCGAATTTACCATTCTCACCACTATGACTTAAGCAAAAAGCTTCTTTGAATGTTACTGATAGTAGCTTTGTAACTTAAATTAGCATGCTATTACATGCTTTGCTATGCAGGATTTATTGATAACCGATGACTAAAATATAATTTCGCTTCTTTCACCCTATAGATTGGCTTAGCTGTCGGTGATATTCACGAACTACAAATGCGAGCTAATTGCTCCCGCATCATTAATCAACTTGTCATGATTTATGAAAAGAATAATGATGAGATCGATTATTTCAGAAAATCTCTCTACAAACCGATGTCAGTTTATCAAGTTCGTGGGCCAAAAGGAAAGTTACGAAATGTGGGTTATTCTAATATGCATCAAATACTTCAAATTATCATGCAAATTCTATTTTAATCTAGCTGACAAGGTCTTACACTATTTTTTATATAGTTTATTTGGAGAAACATATCAGGCAGAGCGTTGATTATAAAGCGCGTATTTGATCGAATTAAAGAAAAAGAAAGTAGCAAAGAAATGTCCTATGACTGCTCAGGAGATCATGACTATGACATGCATGACGCCTATTATGAGTAAGTTGTAGCATATCTACAAGCTAAAGCTAATTATAACAAATTTTAACTATACAAGAATTCATTCCAAATTAAACAGAAATTACATATTATTCACGTATGGACTTATTTTCATCAAATTTTAATTATTATTCTTACCTTAGACACAAGCAATTAAAGGAATCGATTACTGAATTAAAAAAGATGGTGCAATCCATTGCTGCTAAAGTTAATGCCGAAAATTAAAGAAAATACCTAGTACCTTATCTAAAGTTTTAAAATTTGTAAATACTCAAAGAAGCATTAAAAAATTTCCATATTTTTAACGATTACCAGGAATTAGCAAAAAAATGAAGTTGCAGTTATCTTTAGCACCGTGACAACATCATATTCGAAATAACTCTAAGCTAATGAAAGATACCGCCATATTGCGTATTATAATCTATATCTAAAAACTGGAATCAAAGCAGCTAGGGCAATAACGTGTTTGAATTATAAAATAAGCAAACACTGATGTTTGCTACTTTAGTAATTTAAGGTTATCAACTTTCACAGGCCTGTGAAATATTATATTCAATATTCTATATTACAAAGTTCCGGTTTAATATACAGTAAAAGGAATATTTTATTAATCATTGAGCAAAAGTTACGTATAAATTAATCAAAGATTTCAATCATAGCATCTACTTCTAGAATAGCTCTGAATATATATTCCAGTATAGAGAATGATACTACGCTACAAGCTCTACATATCTATCGAATAAAAATTTTAAACACGGCCACTAAAAAATAAATATTTTTGGGTGTTCAGATTTCCAAAATTAAATTATCCATGAATACTATACCTTCGATAGTTTATTTCCCACCTCTTGGCTATCACCTACTAATCTTTAATTACAATCCATAGAGACATCTACATATGATACGTTAGAATTTAGTCATTAATTGGTTATCATTTGATTTTTGCACCCACTTAAAAACAATTTATTAAGGTAATATATATATATAGTAGATGATGCAAACAAAGTATGACCATGATTGCACTACATGCGTAGGGAGCCTTAACTAGACTTTGATTTGATAGTTAGTAGTCTATATCAACATGTATACTTTGTTGGAAGAGGATACAATGAAGTAGTAGATTACTTGAGTACTTATTTAACACTAATTTGATTTACGGAGTCTTACATCAACGTATTTGTTATACTATAAATAAATTATTCGGCTGCATGGACTGTTTATTACGTTTTCTTTCCTTTCTATTACATATTTTTATATCTATAAGCCCGCTAGTAATAGTTTCGTATTCTCGTAGCGATCATTAAACTAAATGAGGTTTGCTTAAACCAATATTTAATCATTTTAAATGGTTATCCGAAAGTAAATATCTGTTTGGTGACAGGTTATAGGTGATACCAATCATTCAAAGTTCATCTAAATATACAGCTACGATGCCACTTTGAACCATTCATAAATTATGGATTCTAGGCAAAGGTAAACGATATTTTCTCCTTACCCCATACAGTAGAGTGTACATTGGTAGGAAACAACGACTCGTGTTCATATTTATTTATACAACAATAATTCGAACTTTCTTACACACCTAAATGTATCTAAAGTAATAAAACAATAAGAAATTAATATTCAAGAATGATTGGTCTCAGATGAATTGTGGTCGGATGGGTGCTTGCAAAGAAAACTTTCATCTTAAAGTGTATTAAGATTGTAATTGCCTGTTGTTTATACTAGCAATCAGATAGACTGCTATGATCTAGGTTATATTTATTGCTACAATCTTTATCTCTACATGTATTCTATCTCTAATAAATTAATTTAGTTGTAATAGTGACAGCGTTAATTATTTTATTTTACTTTACGATAGCTAACACGCTGCTCTACTGGAACTTTTTAGCACTTATAGTCTATAATAAAGAATCTATTTTCTTACTCAATGCACTGGTGCAAATCTCTAAGTAGCTGCTCAATTTACTTCCGCTGAATCATCAAACCATCCATCATACATCCATCCAATGATATACTTATGTACATGTGTTGATCCTCTTACCTTAATGAGTGCACGGGTTTACTTATCGTAAGCTGTTCCAACATTATTTGCCGGCCATTTTACCATCCAATATGATTCGATATCCCTCACTAAATCACCAAGATTCTCAAAAATTATACGCTATCAGACGAGATAGAAATAAAGTTTTGATAATCCAACCCAATCAACAACCGGACAAAATGATAGATGATAGCCAAGATGATGATGAGAATGATGAATTTACCGTTCAATATTCAATGCAGCCACAGTTGAATAAACCAAAAAAGTCAAACGTAATAAGTGCTTCGATTAAAACAGCATAGATTCAACAGTCCTACTAATCTATCAGGTAAGATAGGGAGTTTCCATTGATTAGTATATCCGGGCCTTAGTCTGTACAGCATCAAATTATAATTGATCCTATGCATATATATAATAAGTAAAATAAACTAGATAGTTTAGGTTGGGCTGACTGTATTCCTTTCTGTAATTATTGAAGTAAATTTATCTTTTCTTCTATAAGAGTCAGTAATTCAAAGGCAAACCTTCACATTTTCTCGCAGTACTTATTTCTAAACATCAAAATGTTGTGTAGTTTATTGACTTGCTTCCAACTCATACGCTTAAGGTGCTTTTAGTCAATAAAGTTTCTAATAATTTCCCATCCAATGCCTTCATGATTATAATCTATCCTAATTCGAGGGGAAAAACTCATTATTACAAACAAACTGATGACATACTAGTTTATCTCCTTACAATTCATTCTCGACTCCTAATAATTTAATAGTAAAGTATGATCATAAAAACTTTTAAACTGATTTATTCTCAAATCTAATGTTGATAGCCCAATACTATTAAATGAACCTCAATATGAAACTGCTCTATTTTTTCAAAATAAGTTGGAATTACTTCAATTTATTAATTTGTAAACCAGTACTTATGACTTAAAGTAAACCATAATCATGATCATAATGGATTTCATGCAGCTATAGACTTCTCAAGTATATAAGGCTAGCTTGTAATTTTATATACTAAAGTAGAATACATTCTGGTGAAAACTAATTTGATTTCCATCACATATCATGCTCATGATATTTTGTCTACTAAATCATTTATCTTTGTACACTATATAAAAAGCACAGTTACTTGTTGGAGAAGTACAATTAACACTTTATAAGCTTGTGTTATTAATAGCTTGAAGCACACTGGATTTAATTATTAATCCGCCCTATAAAAGTGAAAATTTTACTCATATATAATACCTAAAAGACAGGCTTTAACAATTTCTATTTTTAATTTATAAATATTGACTTGAGTTGCAAATTCTTTGATCACAGATAGGATACAAAGCCATGAAAATTATTTATCTGTATAACAACATCTAGATGATGCTTGAGAAAGTATAGTGAATTTTTGCACTTTGACTTATTTGATAACTTGAGCTGCCTCCTTTTAATAATAAATTACCTCTACAGAAGTGAAATTAGCTCATGTCGTCCAGGTCAAAATAACAGTTATTAAGAAAACGTAAACATACTAGTTTTTCAAGCTGTGTACCAAGAGCTTGAATTATATTTTATATTTGTAAATGAAGACAACATGCATGAAAATGATTGATTTATTCTTTTTAAACTATGTTATGAGCAAACAGGGATAATCCGACGTTTAATTTGATCAAACAAAAATCGAGAACTATTGCACCCCTCCTTACTACACTAAGATAGCATTTTATTTGAAACCTAAGCCTAAAAGGATAAAATTGTGAAAGGCAACCCATAAAATTAGACGTACTATATGGTTCTAATAACAGGTAGAAACTCTCTTACTTTAAGCCAGATTGACAAGTTCTCAATCATAATGGTAGGCTATTACAAAATAACAATTTTATTTCAGTAATTATATTAGATAATGACTTCATCGATGTCTACCTTATTTGATTATGAAATAAATCCGTATTGATCTAAAGTGGATGATAGTGCTATACTATGCGATTCTAATACCTAGTAGAAACTCTCTTAGTTTAATATAGATTAACAAGTTCTTAATCATAATTTTCGTAAACTAAGAAATAGCAAGCTCTATATTAGAAGATACGTACACATTTATCGTTGTCTAGCTTAGTTGAGGATAAAACTTCATATTTATCTAAAGGTGTATTTATAATAAATTAATTTTATACGAAAGCGATACTTGCTACATAATTTAAATTTAAATCTCAAATCCTATAATGTACTCAAGCTGTTTAGCTTACTGATATTATATTATAACTGGAAACTACAAGTAAGACTTAGCAAAGGAGAGCAGTGGCAACAAATGTTATCAAGAAGTGAATGAGTCATCAATTTACTATATAATCTAATAAAGTTTATAACGAATTCTTTAGGAAAATTTCAATGTGAAATATGAAAGTTAAATAACCATATGGCTACTGCTGATAAAAACATATGAATATGATAGATTCGATTCCTACATGATTTTTTATACTGATAATGACTCAAGTTGAAAACGCGGGTAGCATGCAATGTATCAAATATTTAAACTCGATTTTCATGTCATCTCAAACAGGTTTCAATGCAAGGTTAACTGTCAATCCTATTATGTACTGTGAATGGTCATATAATTTCATTAAGGATTTTTGGCGATCCAGTATAGAAGTGCAAATCTTTTATAATGCAAAAGAATTTCAATAGATTGTTCATTCAGATATTATGCATATCAGTAATTTCGTAATACAAAGTATACAATCCATTTGAAATTTCAAGATTCATTCTAACAGAATGGAGCTCTATATAGGTTAACCTAACCAATAATCATCTATATATTTCGTGTATGAGCTAAGAAATTTTTAGTTAGATCAAGAGAAAAGGAAGAACGTTAACGTAATATGAAAAATTAATATGATGTTTAGCGTATTAAATACACAAACGCTAGCATTTCATAGAAGTTAATATTTTAGCTATGAAATATTGTAGATAAGATTAGGAATTACCGTTTGGGAGCTACTCAATTATTTTTATGTATCAAAACGACCAATCAAGCATCTTATAGATATAAACAATCTGTTTGCTAATATATGTTCACCTAATAAGATATAGCATATCCCAATCTACGTAGTCTAATATGTATTAGAACCAGTTTAAACGGATTATGCAATCCCTCCTATACCATATAATTCACATTTCTATGGCAGATATCTATGAAA